TAACCCCGTTAAGGTCATTGATCCTGGTTTCGGACACATGACACACCAATACCCAGTGTGTCCAAGGTGCATGCGGGTATGGCCTGTTGACCTCTGTCCTAGAAAGCGAACGTTGAACGACGCCATGGAAATGGAATAGCGTGGATTTATAAGGGACTGTTGCCGATAGGCATCCGACGCGTGTCGCGAGAGGATGGCTGCAGATGTTTCTCCAGTGAAACCACGGTTGCTGTCAATTAAGCTGGGAATTATAGAGGGAAAGTTAGTAATGGGGGTTTGGATGGGAGTAAGAGAAACAGGTGGAAAAGAAAGAAGGGAGGCGCCAGCAGTAGCATGTTTTCGCTTATCCGCCATGCTGTATGCAGCAGATAAGACGACCCTTGATAATTTGCGCGACGGCCGATGCAGGATGAAGTTTATATTTGTAGAAAATGTCATGGTTTTATGTAGGCTGAGATACCGCCAGGGCGCCAGACCTAGACTGGAGGACGATTAGGGTCATCATCCAAAGCCTTTGGCTCAGAAGCCTGTACGCAAGGCAGCGGGGAGGTGGCAGTGATTTAGTTTTACAGAAATGGACGCCATCCCATTTCAAACCCCCAACATGGAGGACCAGGAGACTGAGTTTGTCTGATTTCTCCCCATTAACCAACCTGGTAGGAGTAGCTCTCAAGGTGCCCGGAGACATCCCCCATTATAGCTCAATGGGTCAATGAGGTACGCAAACCGTCGCACCACGTTAAGGTTCAGTCTCGTTGCGACGGACGGTGTCCCTGTAGAATGCGGTTCATACACTAACAATTGTCAGAGTAGTGAGCAATAACACACAGAGCGGTTGGTCGATGTACGTAGATGAGCAGCTGCATTGCTGATGCTCTGGCCACCGCAGAGGATAATCAACGGTGCCCTATCTGCTGCATCGAGCAGGGTGGATAGGGGTTTGGATGCTACTGCTCAAGCCTTCCCGTTTTCTTATTCCCCACCTTACGCTTTTTCACTCTTACCGTCGCCTTCCAATTTCACTTATATCCAACCAGTTTTCAACCCCCCGATTCTTGGCCCTCCCCCAACATGCTTTGATAGGCATTTATCTTCTAATTTCAACTCACATGTGAACGCGGAGCGTCACTCCTCTCCTGTCGACAAGCCCATCTCCAACCAAGCGGTCAATTCCAGTTCATCGGCTTCCATTTGGAGCCCTCGATCCTCCTTCAGATTGGCATGCCTCAATGTTCACACATTACTACAGATCGGTCAACAGGCAGCACTTGCCCGAACATTGGAGACCCTCTCGATCGATATCTGCTGCTTATCAGAGACCCGCCTGCAAGACTCGAGCTCTGTGCTCACTCTGCGATCCCCTTCAGGTGACGCAAACAGTATTTTCTCAGTGCGCCTATCCGGTGACGATGCAGCTTCGAGCACCGGCCAAGCCGGTGTTGGCATTGCCCTGAGTCCCCGGGCTGAAGCTGCTCTGGTTGATTGCATTCCAATCAGTAGCCGGATGTGTGCGGTCCGATTGGCTGGCTCGTTTAAAGCTTCGAAGTCGCGCGGGACTAATAGGTGTCTATTCATCATCGCTGCCTACGCGCCCACAAACTGTAGCGATGATTCGGTAAAGAACGACTTCTACCGCCAACTGACTCAGCTCCTTCGCCACAGAAGAAGCACGGACACTGTTGTGCTGGCGGGGGGATATGAACGCACAAGTTGGAAAGTTGTCCACTGATGAAATGCATCTGGGCGGTCAGCACGGTGTAGGCTCCCGTAATGATAACGGTGAGCGGTTACTTCATTTGTGTGAAGATGCTCGCTTATTTCTTGCGAGCACTAAGTTCAGACACAGCACCTGCCGGAGGGTGACTTGGCGCCCACCAGCCTCGAATCAGCCTTGGACGCAGATCGATCACATTGCTATTAGTTACCGCTGGAGAGGCTGCATCCAGAATTGTCGCTCGGTTTGGAGCACATGTGTGGACACCGATCATGCACTTGTATGTGCTGACATGCGGATGCGCTTTGGCGGGCGCACACGACGACGCTGTGAGCGCATTGACACCAGCCAACTGACAAAGCCAGCTGTTCTGAATGCGTATCAAAGTACGCTGACATGCGAGTTGAGCAATCGTTCACTGGAGACAATTGATGGTCACTGGTCACATGTTCGTCAGACCTTACTAGCAGCGGGCAAATCCTCATGTGGTATGTCTAAAAGCCAACATGGACATTGGGTCTCTTCTCGGTCTCTGGAACTTATCGACGCTCGCCGGCATACTCCGGCTGGAAGCGAACAGAATGAAATTCGCGAAGAGGTCCTGGCAAAACTCCGCGCTAGCCTGAAGAGAGACCGCGAATCTTGGTGGTCTCATCGTGCGTCAGAGATGGAAGTGGCCGCTGCCCTTGGCAACCATCGTAAGTTATTCCGTCTGATACGGGAAACGGGCAGCAGGAGGCCTGGTGTTAGTGAAACAATTTGTGATGAGAGTGGACAGCCTATTCACAATTTATCAAAACGTTTGGAGCGTTGGGCTAAGCATTTTGAAAAGCAATTTAATCGGCTAAAATTGTCCGATTCGCCGGTCACTGATCGCCCTGCTCCGTGGGCTGTCCCTTTGGATCCACCCTCTCGCTCAGAAGTCGAACGTGAGATCGGACTGTTGAAGTTGAACAAAGCCGCGGGACCAGATGATCTTCCTCCAGCCCTCTTCAAATTTGGAGGCTCTGCTCTTGTTGATGCTTTACATGAATTACTAGTGAAACTGTGGGAGCAGGAGACTGTCCCAACCGACTGGAGCCGCTCCGTTATTGTTCCCATCTTCAAAGGCGGCTCGCGCTCGGAATGCGGCAACCATAGAGGAATCAGTCTGATCTCCATCGCCCCCAAATTACTCGCGTCCATAATTCTTCACAGACTGACTGGCGCTCGTGAAAGCCAGATTCGTGAAGAGCAAGCTGGATTTCGTCGAGGTCGTGGCTGCATCGACCACATCTTCACTTTGCGTCAGTTGTTGGAGCACCGCCACACATATTGGCGGCCCACCGTTGTCGTGTTCCTCGATATCAAAGGTGCCTTCGATTCGGTTGATCGATGTGCCCTTTGGAATTGTTTACTCAGGAAAGGTGTGCCCGAGAAATATGTAAATATTATCCAAGCATTATATGCGCGTAGCACGGGCAGAGTGAGGGCTTACGGCAAGCTGTCGCCACCCTTCAATATCTCCAGCGGTGTGAGACAAGGATGTCCGCTGTCACCTTTCCTCTTCAACTTCCTATTGACGAAGTCATGGAGTTTGCATTTACAGGACATGACTTGGAAGGTGTGGAGGTACTCCCAGGAGAACGACTTCTTGACTTGGAGTATGCAGACGACATTGCCCTCATCTGTGACAGCTCCCAGATGTGCCAAGCAGCGCTGGACAAATTAGCACTGGCTGTCAGCCGCTTCGGGCTTTGCTTTGTACCATCGAAGTGCAAAGCGTTCCTCCAAGATTGGCAGGGATCGCCTCCTGCGCTGACCCTTGGTGGGGATCAGCTAGAAGTCGTTCAGAAATTCAATTACCTGGGAAGTTGCATCAGCGCCCTTGGGATCGAAGACGAGATCACGAACCGTATAGCGAAAGCTCGGAGTGCTTTTGCTAACCTTCGCCACCTATGGCGGCGGCGCGACATCACTCTCGACCTGAAGGGTAGAGTGTACAATGCAGCGGTACGTTCGACCTTATTGTACGGTTGCGAAATCTGGTCCCTAAGGTCGGCGGACATGAAGAGGCTAGTTACGTTCGACCATCGGTGCCTTCGCCGTTTGGCTCACATATGGTGGGAACACCGCGTGAGTAACGAGCGTGTTCGACGCATTGTTTACGGCCCAGGAAAAGGATCTGAACCGCTCAGCACCGTCATTTCCCGCACCAGGCTCCGATGGCTCGGCCACGTGTTACGCATGCCAGCCCACCGACCCCCGCGACGTGCGTTGTTTGCTCACCGGGGATGTGGGTGGAAGAAGAGGAGAGGTGGCCAAGCGATGACTTGGTCCAGAGCAATGAAGTCCATCACTTCGGAGCTAGCCTCGGTTGGAGCTTCACGGCTCCCTGGTTGGAGTCCAACGGACGATGAACACGTTTGATTGGACACACTTGCTGATATGTCTAGGTGCCGACCTCAGTGGCGTTCCTGCTGTGAGTTTCTTTGTCCCTTCCCATCCCTTTTAGTCTCCCCCTCCATCTACGATCTCATTTCCTAGGGTAAAACAATAAATAAATAAATAAATTTGCCTTTTGCCTAGTAGCTGGCTGAAAGCTTACCGGAACGATGCCTATCCGTTGCTGGTAGCTCAGCTGGCATGCAACTGTTGTATCCACTTTTCCTTTGTGTATTGTATTATATGTATGTATGTATTTCTTTCATGTATTGCGGCACAATAGCGGTGTTTTCCCACCTCTAGCTGATGTGTATAATGATGATGATGCATCAGCTCTAGTGTTCATTGGTAAGGCACGTCAGGCATTTTAAGGCCTCAGACACCTAAGTGGAAGGGTAGGCTTCCTAGATAATGAAAAAGGACACATAACCTACTCGAAAGGTATTAATGTGAAAATCGGTGACATGGTCACTATTGCACGCTGAAGGCAATTGAAAACTGGTCGTCTTTGAACACTGGCGCTCACACAAGGTCGTTCGCATTTGGTGAAACCACGGAACGATCGTTGCTGTTACCCGCCAGTGGATAGTAATGGGGGCAGCATAAATGGGTATGAAACCAGTCGTTTCAGGTGTTCAACACACGAACGTATAGACAGGAGATCGAAGTTGTTATAATCTTATAACAGAAGTTATCGATGTAAACAAGGTGAAACAGACAGCAAGTAGGCAGTATGGGGGAAATTGCAGAAAGAAGCTACTCGAGGGTAAAAACTGCGCGCACAGAAAGTGTAAACCAGAAAGATCATCAGTCCATAAAAGAGATGCAAGAACGGTAGCGATGAGAGAAGAACAACACGTACCACGAGAGGCTGCATCCACTGCAACACCAGCACCTGTGGCACCGCCACCGATCACTAGAACATCAAACACTTGCCCTGAAGACATGCGAGCTAAATTCTCCGCACGTGAGGGTAACGGTTTGCTGAAACGTTCTACTTCGGCTGGAGATGGCTTCGGACGAGAAAGTAGTGCCTTGAGAATGGAAAAAAATGATATGAAAAAATCACCGAAGTTAGTGAGCACGGCTGGTAAAATGAAGATGAGCATGTGTACTCCAGGGAACACAAGTTCTGATTTCAATGGAAACGACAGCGGGGTCGCGATTCAGAGCCTGGTGAGCTGGTGCAAGAGGAACAATGGTAGACCGAAAAAAGTGGTGGCAGATAATTGTGGGGTCAAGCATATCGCATGTAGGTCAGGTAAGCGCAAAAGTTCCCAAGTGAGAAAAAGTTACTGGAAAGTGAACTACAGAAATTTAGAGTTGGTTCAGCTAAAAGTCAATCAATGGTGCATTAAGAGCACTTTATTATGTGTGGGTTTTAGCATGTAGAGAGACTGTATTCAAAAAGCAAATGAAGAAGTTGTAACATATATATTTCCAAATAACACAAACAAGAAAGTATGAAGTGTGCCGAAGTTCGGTAAGGAATAGCCTGAGAGATCGATGAGCGGTGGAAAAGGCATGTTACTAAGAGCCAGAATTCCTGAGAACACAAACAGTTATCGATTTGGATACAAAGTAGTATCCAACCAGAAATGTAGAAACAAATTCACAAGTGCGGATAATGAGCGTATGACAGTTCATATTCTGTAAGCATGCTGTGGGGTGATAGAGCGGAGAAAACGATCAAACCAGATAGAGATGAGCAAGAAAAATATCAGTGCATAAGATAATCAATGTGTGGCATGAGAACATTTCTGGTGGATGCATGTAGGTTCCGGATGTTATAATCTTCTCACTAGACGCAACTCCAAAAATAACAATTTACTGCTCCACAAAACTCCCAGCCCAACCGAAGGAAAAAAAGCAAAACGCCAATGACCTTGACAAAATAACGTATTAATCGCCGCTAACGAACACTGTACAACTGCTGCGGACCTTGGCTGTATTTATCGATCTCTACTGACCTTCGACTTCTAGATTTGGAAGGTTAGCTGCCAAGGTTAGTGGTTCCCCATATCTTTTGCCGAGGGGTCAGGTGGATTTTAATCACGTACAGAAGAAGATCATTCCGGAACGTTCGAAATCAATGCGATAATCGTTAATAATCGATTAATCGCTAAAATAGGGAATTTCCAAAGCAATTCTTACTTTCTCCCGGACACCGGACCCACTTAAGATGGGGTGAAAAAGGATATGGCTATAATCTGCGCGTTGATAAAGAAAGTGGTAGTCACCGTCACAGAGATAAGTATCAGCAGTATGCCGGCACGCAGTACCGACACACCGCTGCTGTGCATCCAACAACAGTCACATGTGGACCAAAGATACTGCGAGGATCGCCCGGACCTCATGCAGGCTCGAAGCCACGCCCTCGGATTACAAGGCAGGGTTGTGAACCTTAAGGCTAAGGGTCGTCACAGTGATAAGACATAGAAGTATTCGGTCTATGGAGGGTGACCTACTTGAGCGTGCAAATCACACTCAACAATAGGCTTGGCGACATGTTTTCGGATTCATCTGGCATTGTGTATGCGAACAGTCACAGGGCGACTGCACTTAGTGTAGAACCATGTGGGGTTGCGCTGCAACACACACACACTCCAAATACTCCGAAAATCTGAAGGGATATGATTGGGAGACAGGCAGGTGAAAGCCACGACTGATTCGGAGCTGACCAGCATTCCTTCAACATATATATCGCACATTTGAACAGAGAGGTACGAGGCGAACAACTCGAGCGACTGCTTCGGCCACGGAGGAAATGGACAAAGATCACGGGGTGCAAATCGAAGATGTCACTTTCAAAAGCCATTTGCCCGTCGATCACGAATGCACGATTTAGTCAGTGGGAGTGTCCATTATCCATCACCGCAAGGACCATGCCATCTCGTGTGGCGGCAAAACGTATGCGACCATTTAATCAAGCTCGGTGAACAGGTCAGTAGTTGAAAAACTAATCTGGGCAACCAGTGTTCCTAAGTATTTCGAAGAGAAAGATGTGTACCAGATGTACGAAAGGCGGTGGTTAGGACGTTGCCAGTTCCACACTAGATGAAACCGCTCTATGAGCCAAGTACCGTCACGAAAATCGAGCACCCCGTTCCCCCCAACAATGATTGACATGGTCCAGGAGAAATTATAATTGAAGTAACTGTTTTCGACAGGTAGGCACCTGGCCAACATTCACTGAAAGCGCGGGGAGGCAGGGGAGACGCGTTAGCAAACACCGAAAGATTGGGAAAATAAGCACATGGTTGGCAAGACCGGTTCCGGATTTGCTTGTCACTGCCGCATCCACGGGGATAGCCACAGGACGCCTGCATCTACAGAGGGAGCATGGGTCGCTTGCGTTGCACCACCCACAGCTCCAACCACACACCCCATATCCAGTGTAAACCTGAAGGAATAAGACCGGGAGGCATGTGGATGGGAACCACATTTCATCAAGGGAGCCGGCCCACACTCCTTCACAGGCAAACACAAGCACGCTGTATTTGGGGAATAAAGCGCACATAAGGCAGTGGCTGAACCGTGGCCCACTCCACACTGAGTGCATGGAACCGCTCTTCGAGCCTAGCGCGACCACAAGGACCGTGCACCCCGTCCCCTCCAGCAACGACCAACTGTCTCCTGGAGCCAGTATGGACGAGGTAGTGGGTACTAGACAGGTAGGTACCTTGTCAACATGCACATCAAGCGCAGCCACATCGGAGATATCAACCAACAGCCAATCACTTGAAACGATGAGACATACAAAATAAATCGAATAACGCATACAGATATGGTGAAATAACTATTCACTAACTGAGCATATGAAATAAATTGGTTACGAACAAATCCGCGATAAATTCAAGACGTCAGAAAATATAATTTCTAAAAATGCCACAAACGCGAAATGTTATCGAAGTTAACTAAAGTAGTTTCAGGAACGTGTGAAAGTTCAGGTAGACATTAATATGAGATCAAAAAGCATTAGGACAATATAGCAAACCCATCACCTGAAGTAAAAAAAAACTCAGCAAGCAATTACACGGTTAATAAATCAAATGCAGCGTACTCACCAACGCTGCGCCGGTTGTGCTTAAGTTCTCAACAGGACGCGTCGTCTTTTCGATGTTGGTCCCGAGTGGCCTCGCTCGTGACACAGTAGGCCTGTCTAACTCAGGCACTCGTGACCGTATGTGCTCCAGCAACGTGCTCGACGTCGATGGAGTACATTCCGTCGGTGTCTGTCGCTTGCACACTTGCCGCTTCTTCTCTGCAAGCACGAGGGCTTTCTCTTGTAGCTCGGTAACTGCCTTCGTGATCAGAGCGCGCCATGCACGCTAATCAACCGCCTTCGATTCGCAATAACTGAAATCAACATTAGCATATGATAGACTCACCTTGAACATGTCCTGGTAACGAAGCTTCTCCCGCATGCTTCTCCCGCATGCTTCCCCGCATGCCGCTTCCCAACAATCAGCTGGCCATATAACAGCTGCTTCGGTATCCGCGTCGAATCCATACGCCAAACATGACCGAGCCACCGCAAGTACCTCAGCAAAAGTATGCAATCCACTGCATACATTCTAGTTCGGCGCAGCACCGTGTCTGCAACACTGTCAAGTCAACCGATGCGTAGAATCCGTCGCAAACACTATTGAGGAAACCGCTCGAGATATCTCTGGTCTAGATGGTACATGGTCCAGGTTTCGCTGACGTATGAAAGAACGGACAGCACCATGGATTTGTACACCATCAGCTTCTTGCAGACGGTAAGCTCGTGGTTATTCCACACTAGGTGCTCAAGCTACCCGAATGCCGTAGCTGCGTTCGATACGCGAATACGCAGCTCACAGTGTAGTTGCTGGTCAGTCGAAACCACACTCCCAAGGTAGCAGAAGCGGGAGGTGATTTCCAATACTTCAGCACCAATGCTGATTTGCGGCAACATTGCAGACTGCACCTCCGGTGAAGGCTGAAAGAGACAGACAATTCTGTTTGTGTTGACGGTTGGCCGCTGTTGAAGCCAGAGCACTAGTCATGTGATGCAACTCATCCGCACTGTGTTCGAATAACGCACAGTCGTCAGCGAACAGAAACATACCGTAAGCACATCAGCATCAAACACACACGACATCACGGCATGAAGATAAATAGTAAACAGGGCAGGAGCTAAGATATAGCCTCGCTTCACACCAGATATAACTGCGAAGTCATCCGAGATCCGTCCACTCAGCTGCATCCTCACCCGCATACCACTGTGTGGACATGCAACTAAACTTACAAACTTACTCAGACAGCCAAAGTTACCCAACACCAGCCACAATGCCTCGCGGTTCACCGTATCAAATGCTTTAGTGAAGACAACAAACAGCGAGTACAACGAATGATGTCGTTCCCTGCACTTCTCCTGCAACTGACGAGCCGCAAACACCATATCGATGGTACTGCGACTCGAACGGAATCCACATTGCTCCTGCGCCTCGTTCGGTTTCACAACCTGACTGACGAGGCGGTTGAGCAGGATTGGGGTAATCACTTTGCCCACACAACACAGCAAGTTGATACCACGATAATTCTTGGCACATTGCATGCTACCTTTGCCCTTGTACAGTGGTAGCACAAGGGCATCCTTCAGCTTAGGAGACTCGGCCGGTGGCCGAATGGTCTGCACGTATGCTTTGCAACCATAAGGTCACCGGTTCGAATCCGCGTAGGGGTGGGCGTCCTCGTGATATACTCAGCCCGCGCGCGACTGGTGGTGGTTGCGCGGCAGCGAAACGCCGTTACGGCGTACAGCTGACACATTATTAGTATTTTTTATTATTAGCTTAGGAGGCACCTCCTTTTTAATCCACATGCGATGCACCAAGTGGTGCATCGCATTCACCAAAGCGGGTCCACCGTGTTTTAATACTTCAGGCGGAATCCCGCCGGCACCGGCACACTTGCCGTTTCGCAGCTGAGCAAGTGCTCTCTGCGTCTCATCCAGTGCTGGCGTGTCCGCCAAACACCACCTCGTGCTGCTTCAGGTAGTTCAAAGTAGGCCGGTCAATCTCTGAACGGTAATTAAGAGACGGTCAAAGTGATTTCGCCACATCTGCAGTATGTTTGCAGTCTGTGTGCAGCTAGCGTCTGAACTACCATCGATTAGCGTCCTCAGCGGCTTCAACCTCGGTCTATTAACCGCCTACAAGGAGTCAAAAAATTCCTTGTGTTGGCGGAGTTCGGCATAGCATTCCATATGCTCCGCCTTCTCCGTCCACCATGCAATTTTACTGCGACGGAGCTCTCGGCTCAATCACCGGCGAATTCTGCGAAACTGACTCTTCATCCCCAAGTCACTAGGGTTTACCACATGTGCAGCAAATGCTGCATTCTTCTCAGACATCAATGCGAAAATCATCGCACTGATCTTATCAAAACAATCAGGTCGCTTATTTTGCGCGCCCGATGATCTGCTCGGCAGCAGCTGTCACCTGATCACGAATGTGGTGCCACAGGTCGCCCACTGTGGCTATGCATTCCACATCACACAGGCACACAGCCATCGCCTTCTACAGCTCAATACGTTACGCCATAAGTATCGAGGGAGAGAATGTTAAATTTACACCGATTCACGGCAATACAAAGATTTACGAAGAGATATGTACGGTTTGGTTTGCACCAATTTGTGATCAGTGCCACACTCAGCTCCACGCAGTACACGTGCCATGCGCACTTCATGCATGTCACACTGACGTACGATACCATAGTCGAGCAGGTGAGCGTGACCACTCTGTGGGTACGTCCAAGTCGCTATATCACTCGCACTCAGTGCAAACCGAGTGTTCGTGATCGTCAGGCCGTGAGTGGCACACAGTGAGAGCAGCCTGTCACCGCTCGCAATCGCACAACCAAAACCATGGAGACCGATGACGTCTGTCTACACCGATGCATCACGCCCAACGCGCGCGTTGAAATCACCCAGCAAAAACAGCCGATCGCTCCTCGGCAAAGACCGTACCACGGAGGACAACTGGGCGTAAAATTAATCACGCGTGTCATCAGGATAACACATGGCCGGACGTATAAAAGTGGCAAACGTCCGAGTCGTAGGCAAAAAGTCATTATTACTGCGTTGTTGCCATTGGGCTCACTCACAAGGTGGCCATTTACGCGATCGGATATGGTAAATCCGACCCATGTTTACGTGATGCTGAGGTGACGTTTCTCACTCAGTAGAACGTATAGTCGGCACCAGCTTCATGCAACTTACCTTGTTCAGCGAGCCGAATTTCGCTGAGCGCCGCAATATTGAGGTTGTAGCGCGCCAGTTACATCGCGACCAGTGCACTGCGTCGCCCGAGTTCCGGTCCAGCAGTGTGCGCAGATTCCGGCACCTGATGTTGAGTGCTTTGGGCGAAGGCATACGATTGCACTGGTGGGCAATCACACGCGTGGTGGTGTTTGTGCTTCGGAGGTTTGCTTGAGAGACTCCACCCGGAGCCTTTGGCTCAACAGTCTGACCCACAAGGCAGTGGGTGGTATGGAAGTTTGCTTGAAGGACTCCGCCCCGAGTCTCTGGCTCAATAGCCTGGCCCACAAGGCAGTGGGGAGCAGATCCAGCTCGGGAGTGCGATTTCAGAAACTCATTGGGATATGACTGATGTCCGTCACAAGCTGCCTTTGAAGTCCCGGAACAATGCATGTGTTTTGCGACCGATGTAAAACATGCACCTGCGACCACAAAGACTCAGGAGGGTTTTGGCAGGTTTGCACCAATTTGACCAGGGGTTGGCTGGTTGGAGGCAGGGAGTAGCACACCACTGAGCACCCAGAAGTGTCCTCAACGCCAGAGACAATGCGTGGCGCTCGTGCTCTATGCCAATCGAGCTGTGAGCTTATAACTCGCGGACCCGTTGTCTCCCATGGCTAGGTTTTAAGGGAAGGGGGCCACTGACCACTTCCTAACCTTTGAAGAGGATCGAGCTTGGACGAACACTGGCAGGACGCCCATACCTGACAGGAGAACGACTCGGGTCCTCAGCCAAAACCTTCGGTTAAATGTACATGGTTGGCTGCATCCGGTCTCGGATTGGCCTATCACTGTGGCCAGCCACAGGACGCCTGCGCCTACAGAGGGACCATGGGTGGCTTGCGCTGCACCACTCACAGCTCCAACCACACACCCCATATCCAGTGTAAACCCGAAGGAATAAGACCGGGAGGCATGTGGATGGGAGCCACGTTTCATCAAGGGAGCCGGCCCACACTCCTTCACAGGCAAACACAAGCACACTGTATTTGGGGAATCAAGCGAACACAAGGCGGTGGCTAGACCGTAGTCCGCTCCACACTGAGTGCATGGAACCACTCTTCGAGCCTAGCACGGCCGCAAGGACCGTGCACCTTGTCCCCTCTAGCAACGACCAACTGTTTCCTGGAGTCAGTATGGACAAGGTAGTGGGTAATAGACAGGTAGGCCCCTTGTCAACATGTACATCAAGCGCAGCCACACCGAGGATATTAAGCAACAGCCAATCACTTGAAACGACAAGATGAAATAAAATAAATCCAATAATGCATACACATACGGTGGCATAACTCTTCGCTAAATTAGCACATGAAGTAGGTTGGTTAGCAACGAATCCGCGATAAGGAAAAAATGTTCACAAGTTACTTAAAGATGCTACAAATGCAACCAAGTTATCGAAGTTATATATATATATATATATATATATATATATATATATATATATATATATATATATATATATATATATATACCCCATGCTGAGGCTGATGTTGCATTCTTGATGCCTCTTCACCGTTGGGCTAAACCAACTTACACTTAAACTAGGTCTCTTTAAGCTGCATAGATTTCATTCCAGTTTATTTGGTTTGTTTTGCCTATCTGGTAGTCTTCTACTGGCTAGCCAGGTTATTTACGCTAATTGCGCTTATCTTCGGTAATTTTGTTGCGTTTGTAGCATTTTTGAGTAACTTGTGGACATTTTTTCCTTATTGCGGATTCATTGCTAACCAAATTACTTCATATGCTAATTTAGCGAAGAGTTATGCCACCGTATCTGTATGCATTATTGGATTTATTTTATTTTATCGTTTCAAATGATTGGCTGTTGCTTGATATCCCCGATGTGGCTGCGCTTGATGCGCATGTTGTCAAGGTGCCTACCTGTCTATTACCCACTACCTCGTCCATACTGGCTCCTGGAGACAGTTGGTCGTTGCTGGAGAGGACGGGGTGCACGGTCCTTGTGGTCGTGCTAGGCTCGAAGAGTGGTTCCATGCACTCAGTGTGGAGCGGACTACGGTCCAGCCACCGCCTTGTGTTCGCTTGATTCCCCAAATACAGTGTGCTTGTGTTTGCCTGTGAAGGAGTGTGGGCCGGCTCCGCTGGTGAAACGTGGCTCCCATCCACATGCCTCCCGGTCTTATTCCTTCGGGTTTACACTGGATATGGGGTGTGTGGTTGGAGCTGTGGGTGGTGCAGCGCAAGCCACCCATGGTCCCTGTGTAGGCGCAGGCGTCCTGTGGCTGGCCACAGTGACAGGCAAATCCGAAACCGGATGCCGCTAGCCATATATATATATATATATATATATATATATATATATATATATATATATATATATATATATGGTTGGCGTCAACAGGTTCCGGATTTGTCTGTCAATGTGGCCTCCATATGACAGCCACAGGACGCCTGCACCTACAAAGGGACCAGTAATCGAGGTGGATGGTGTTAAACTGGTAGGCACCTTGTCAACATTCATAGCAAGCGAAGCCACACCGGATATATCAAACAACCAACATAGAATATGCAGCAAAATAAACATGCAAAGCTGACACGGAATATGCAGCAGAATAACAGAACTGAGCAAAGCAAATATTGTGGAATACCTTTTATCCAGGTTAAGAAGATCCAGTTTAGGTGTAAGTCAGTGTAGCCCAACTGTGGTGAGAAGCATGATGTATGCAAGATCAACTTTAGCATGAGATGCATCCTTCTCTAAACAATGGTCTTCTTACTGCCTTTTAAATCGTTAAAAGGAAATCACTGCTTTAAATGACAGAGAAGCGATTGCATGCGCATAGAAAGGAAACATTAAACTTTATCACATCGTCTCTTTGAGATATAAGCATGCAACAAAAAAACCGGCACGCAACTTAGCATCCGCACCGCGCCTGCCGTTAGGCAACTCACAAAGGTGTATGCGACTTCAAATTTGCTGAGTGGTCAAGCTTTTGACAGTTGAAGTATGGTGGCGGGTGTCAAATGCGAAACTGCCAAAGGCTAGTGCAACACTTAGCTACTTCGAAGATAGTTCATGTACTCAGCTTTCCGTATTAAGTGGTGACAGTGTACACAGAGTGATTAGTGCTCCCTGGTAGGAGAAAATCAGTTGATGCAAGAAATGTCGAAAGTGAAACGTAAACGGGATAAGAGGAGAACATATAGACTAATAAATACAAAGCCGAAAATCTCGATGACAAATTTGAGATGCTTACCTTACTCCGTCGAGTTTCGTTTATTTTAGGGATCATTTCCAGTAGAAAAACGGTGCCAACGCCGGAGAGAGCGGCGACAACTCCTAAACGTTTGAAAAGTTTTCTAAGGGTAAACATCTACAAAGGAACAAAAGCAGAATAGCTGGTTTAAGGCCAACAATGCCAACGAAATAACTAACGGATGTGGAAAGAAATGACACTGTTCGATGGACAAAAGACAACACTGCCATTAAGCTCTAACGAAACAGCACATAGGTGCACCCCAAGACGGATGAGGCGATATGATCATTATACCGTCAGGTTAGGACAATTAACAAGCGAATATAGTAACTCGTGAACGTGAAAATATATGTGACAAGTATAGCGGCTTATATATGAGGATGTCGTAGCAATGTCACCTTTGAGAAAGCCAGGAATAGCTTAAATTTTAACCTCTGGCAGCAAGTCACAGCAAAATACTAGTCGTTTTGCGAGACAGTACAGCAGTCTAAGACTACAAAATAGTAAGTGGGATTCGAATGGGATAAGTAAAAATGCATCACATCTGGACTCACTCAAACAAGCATCACATGCCCAGAAAAGCAGTTAAGGCCAGTTTCGGCATTTCGGGAATCATCGGTAGTGGGCATTCAATCTAGCCCCTGTAGGGCTCCAACTCGAAACTCGACTGTTGCCAATCTGTGGTTGGAACAACTCAGTTACGGGGGACGGCAACAACAGAGGATAGTGAGCGGCGCTATATCACATCTAATAACAGTCAGGATAGTCACTACCATCCCCCGTAGCTCAGTGGTCTCAACTATAAACTGGCAACGGTGGAGTTGCGGGTTCGAGCACCAGAGGAGTCAGAAGGAATGCGCACTGCTGACGATTCCTGAATGTAGGAAACGACCATACAGTACTTTTTCGAGCGTGTGATGGCTGTCTGACTGAAGCTACAGGTAAACCAATTTCCACCTATAAGACGAAGGCAATGCCAACTCTTATCTTAAAGTGGTATCGGCCCCTAGTTCTGGTAAGAGAAATCAGCGTATAGGTGCTTTTGTTGAACAGTGTCGATTGTCTGCAGCCGAGGCCTACGATCATAGAGCCAATCGAGGTAGCTTGGTGCCACAGCAGTGCCTAGAGCTATATCTGCCAAAGGTTGAACTAGAATATTTCAATGATAACCCTGCTAGATGTTGGAAATTTGTAAAGCAGTTCGAATACTTCGTCGTAAACCGTGTGTTTGACAGTGGACAGCGACTGCTTTATTTGATTCACTATTGTCGTGGCTGTGCCAAGGAGGCCATCAGTGAGTGTGACGTTGCCTCCCTCCGTGGCCGACGATAGAGCAAGAAATGTTCATCGCGAACGCTTGGGAGGAAGCCATGATGTGGCCAGATCGCTAATTGATGGTCTCATGAATGACTTGAGGTCGCTCTCTGCCAATCCGGGTGAATTGTCTCAATTGTCCTTGAGAATGAAAAATTGCTACCTCGCTCTGTCGCAGATGAAGTTCACTGCCGAGTTGAATTCCAGTGCAACCACTGAACGCGTGTGCGTATTACTGACCAGCCTTCGGGCCCGGTGGGCAAGTGGAACAGACTCGATCATGCATGATGGGTGGGAGGTCACTTTCAAGGATTTGACTGACTTCGTTGCCGCGGAATCTCGAGTTGCGCGAAGTAAATCCGCCAAATCACTTCGTCAAATGCGTCTCGACAGCATTTGGATGTCAGGCTACCACGAGTAGGGAACAGATGAAACGATCGTAGCCACATCCACTATACCAGATCAGGAGATTCCCATAGAACAGTGTTTGGCTTGTAAAAGTGAACATGCCGCGGCCTCGTATTGTGGTTTTCTGGCTTCGGGCGTGCCTGTGAGACTAGAAGAGCCTGGGGGAAATGTTGTATCTTATATTTTGTTGGACAGCGGACTTGACATCACGAATGTATGTGATGCCGTGACAATGGAAAACTGCCGAGTGTCACAAACCAGCATTGTGTACTGACGTTGAGCCAAGTTGCTGGGTAGCTGATTCACTAGTGCATGCTAGGTTGCCTGTCATTTTACCGTATGCTGGGAAATCGAATGACTATAATTCATGTAACTCATTACCCCCTGTAAGGAGAAACAAGCAGAGTTTTGTGCTCCGCAGCCCATATGCATTCAACTGATCCGTCAGTTGATGCTGACATACCAAAGGTTTCCACTGAGCTCGATGTGCCAGAGGGTATTAGCCTCCCCATGGATCCGGAGACACATAGTGAGTCAATTGGCTTGTTAGTTCCGAAGCCCTTCGATAATTCAGCAGTTACTGGAAAATCCCATTTAATCAACAAGAACAAGAAACTGGAGGTAAACAATTGTTCTCGATGAATTCCTCATCAGACCTTTACAATCATATGGGTAAAGAACAATGGGAGTAACAGTGATTTCGATCAGTTCAAATGAAATTGGATCACGTCCAACCGGGAGCATAAACCAGCAATAAACGAAAATGATAAGCACAAACTAGGGCAAAGATGTAGTCAAATGATTGCCTCTGGCCTCCGAATCGTCCATTTTTTCTGGCCAGGGTAACTTAAGAGCTTCGACCAGTTTCTTTTGTGAACACAAAAGCAGTTGATACAACCGAATACTGATCGCCTCAGCTGTAGCGAGAGTGCGGAGGCGCAAGCCTTCCGATTGGAGTGGCGGAACCTTGTAGAGTATTCGAAAGGAGCGGACTGGATCGATTTCATGCCCACTATCAACCAGCCAGATGAGCCATAACCGCATCGACGCAACCAGCGTGAAAGGTGCTCATTAATGCGCTTTGACAAGTGCCGTGCCGTTCGACCGATGTAAGTAGAGCCACAGGCGCACTCGAACTGATAAATGACCATAGAAGCGGTCAGCATCGGCAACTTGTCTTTGTTGCAGAGGCGAATGAGGGGTTCCGTTGAGAAAGTGCACTTGAGCTTAGCAGCTGGAAAAGTTGACTGAACGGCTATAGAAAGGCTTCTGGCTACACATTCGGCGGCTGCGTCTCCTTTGAAAGGTAATCTTATAAATAGTTCTTTCTTCTCAGCTGCTAGAACCTGCACCGGGTCGGGTTTGTCTTAAGAATGAATCGATCAGGATACCCGTTTTCGCGCAGCACTCCAACTCAGTATCCAACGTGTCTTCAGAACAAATCCTGTGGGCCCTTGTGGTTAAGGAGCGAATTAGGTTACGCTTGTATCTCAAAGGAACGAAACTATGGAAGTTCGTATACTGGCCACTCCAGGTTCTCTTCCTGTAGACGTGCCGTTGGATCGAGCCATCTACCCTACGAGTTAACAATACATCAAGGAACGGCAACCGGTTGTTCGCTTCCTTCTCGCAGGTAAATTGCAATGCTGCGTGGGCCTGATTAAAGCGTTCAATAACAGCGTCGAGGTCAGTCGACTGATCGGCCACAACAAATATGTCATCCATATAGCGATGATAACAATCGAAGGTGGTGATCTCCGCATGTAGTTTGTGTGTCAGCTTATACGCCGTAACGGCGCTTCGCTGCCGTGCGACCACCACTAGTCACGCGCGGGCTGAGTATACCGCGAGGACGCCCACCCCTACGCGGATTCGAACCGGTGACCTTATGGTTGCAAAGCAAACGTGCAGACCACTCGGCCACCGGCCGCATGTAGTTTGGTGTTCTCTAATTTTGCCATGAAAACATCAGCAAGCAGCGGACCTAATGGCGATCCCATGGCTACACCATCTTTTTGACGGTAGTAGGTGCCATTGAATAGGAACTGTATGTTCCAGGTGCAACGCAAAAGGAGACTTTTCAAATCACGCAATGGTATGCCTATCGTTGTCTGGGTTTCGTTGATGTAGGAACAAATGTAATCAATTGTCTCGAGAAGTGGGACGTTGGTGAAAAGCGAGACAACATCCAAGGGAAACATTATTTTCTTACTGATGTTGCGGTCCCTTGTTCTTGATGATTAAATGGGAATTTTCCAGTTACTGAAATCGTCCAAGCCGCCCTCAGTGGTGAAGGAGCTAAATCAGTTCCTTAAGTTCTCCACTAGGCTTGCCGAAGCTAAAACTTGCGTTCAATTTTTCAATGATTGCATTGAACGCAATGAATATCCCAGCAGATTCTGGAAGCAACTACGCCGCAGTCAGATCTATCCGAACGCCAAAACGTTTAGACGGCATGCTTTGAACCAGAGTGACACGGTGCAATCCAAAATGGCCGAATTCGAGCGCAATATGGCGCAGCGCCAGCATGCGATTGATGAGTTAGCGTTGGACGTAAAACAAACATACCTGGATTACGTTCAGTCTATCACCGCAAACAGTGTACGACAAAGGCGTTTGGCCTTAACAAAGGCGTTAAACCAGGTTAAGCCTCAATCCACTTTCCCAAGTAGACCTGATAAGTACGTGCATAACTTTTCAAGCCTGAAACTAAACTCTACTTTAATGGAAGTTCTATCACTTGGTCTAAAATTTTGCGCCCCCAGACACAGAGATAATCTGCTGCACTGTGAGTTACAGTTTGAAAGCTTATTTGTTCAAACAAAAGGGTTAGCAGCTAAGTCTAATGAGGACTTGGAACGCTTCAAATGTTCTCTGGTGCACAATTGCTACCAGTATCGCAAGTGCCATGTTCAAAATCACGGTCCACTGACACGCAAGCACTTTGATGCACTGAAGGACTTAAGGCGCAATGATAAGATCTTCTTGAGCAAACCAGACAAAGACACTGGGGTCGTTCTATTGGACAAAGACGACTATATAAACAAGCTAGAAAGAATTCTGAGTGATGAAACAAAGTTTTCACGAAAAAATAGGAGAAAAGGATCAAACGGAGCGAACCGAAAAGCAGACTACTAAGAGCTTGCAAGAGCTTCGGAATAGCGGATACATCTCAAATACTCTTTATGACAGCCTTAAGCCGAGTGGTACGAATGTTCCGACGCTTTACGGGTCTGGGCGCCCTGGCAGTATCCCAGCCCACATACAACCATGACATTTTCTTCAAACATAAACTTCATCCTGCATCGGCCGTCGCGCAGATTATCAAGGGTCGCCTTAGCTGCTGCATACAGCAGGGCGGATAAGCGAAAACATGCTACTGCTGGCGCCTCCCT